TAACACCATTGTTCATATGATATCATAATTGATTTCAGAGTGCAAGTGGTGCAGTCAATGGAAAACACTCCAGGGTATATAACATTAGTGACATATAAAAAAGATATTACATGGGTGAATTCACTATAGAACTGATGGATTATATGTGATATAAAAGAATAACTAATTTTCAATTTTGGAAATACTTGCAAAAGGGTCATTTCAAAAAACTCTGGTCATTTCTGTACAGTCCTCATGTGATTAATTTCATCAACAAATTCAAATACAATTTTTTAAAAGGTACAAAACCCTTTTTTCTGATGAAATATACTTTAAGGTTTTGGTTCAGCGATATTTAAGTACAGAAAGATTTCAACTGATTTCTTCAGTACCAGTAGTTTATATACACACCTAAATTATCGTACCGTGGTGATCAGACTCAAATTTCATGACGGACTAAAAACTGTCTTACAGCTTATGCAGAACCATGAAGTGAAATGTGGTATCTACACCTTAACGAGTATATTTCATGTTACCTATACATCACTACCTATTGTCTCAGGTAGAACACAGGTGAGTATAATCCTCTGACACTGGAAGATTTTTACAGGTAGTAGACAAGGTAGAGTACACTGCTACCACCTGTAACAATATCACTAACGGTTATAGGGTTATAGTATTCCTGTTACATAGCTGGTATTAGTACAGGTGAAAACACTGACCACAACTGACCATTAGTACACAGGTGTATTATACACCTGTACAAAATAACCTGGACATAAAACTATGATTAACATCTAATCATCGGTGGTACACAGGTACCTTTGGCAAAAGTTTACATAAAAAAAACGCTATAGTACTAGAAATATGAAGAAATGAAAAAAGTAACAATTAACACCATACTTAATCTGTGTTTACAGGCCACAAGCTGAAAGATTCGTAGAAGTAAGGACATATAGCGGAATCAAAAGAGACTGTGTAAACAAGGGGTTATTTCAGGAGAAATATTTATCCACCAATACCCAATAAAAAGTAAATACCAACCTCCCACTAACTGAATAATATATACAGGTATATTTGTCAGGTGAAGGTCAAGTGTTGTGATTGACATCTCACATCACACCAACCTCTCCAAGTGACTCTCCACTGTGTCTCTGTTTACCTGTACTAGACACACCTGTCTGTTATGTGGTGAGATGGTTGGTGGCTAAAGTTAATCAACCAAGCCTCTTTTAACTACCTGGAGAAATCTTAAAAGACATCTGCAGCTATCAACAGTCAGCTTTCGATTCACACTTCATAGTAACAATGAATAAGTGTAACTGTATGACCTTCAATCATGGAATTTAGCAAGTTTGAAGTCACTGAATGACAATCCAGCTCTACAAGATACATACAAATAAATGAACACTCATAAAACAATGAAGAAATTGCCAAAAAAAAGAGATTATTATGAAGTCTTCAAATTCTGGAAATTAATAACTCTATCCTAAGTACAAAAGTAACCTTAATCACCAACTGTACACAGCTGCAACTAGTTGCGGCACTGAACCATAACCAATTATGCAGAGAGGTAGAGTGGATATCTTTATTCATATCTCACGTCATTTTGATGTGTTATCAACTGTGCTGTCTAATACTCTCTCAATAACCATGACCATGTAACATGTCACTAGTTACAATGCAGCATGAACAGATGCTGTGTGGTCTAGATCTGAAAGTCAAGAACATTGAAGCAAAAAGGGCCTGCAATGCACTCTTGATTAACTTTGCTGAAATCGCTTTATCTAAACAGAATGAAAAGTATTTTGAATATTTATACCTATTTCCTCTATTAGACTCTGTCCCTCTATCTTAAGTGGGGCAAAATGTGCCATCTTTTAAAAACCTGACTTGAATAGTGAGTAGATATTTCCCTTTTTCACCATCCCTCTGGCTTCCAAGGGCCAAGACCCATCTTTATACTTCCTTGGTTTTCTTTTATCAAAAAATACCAAATTTAAATGAATAATCATCCATCACTACAAGAAGAAATTTTAAACTATTTCCCCCTTTTAGGCCACATCGTTCAGGCCACAAAAGCCAAAAACCCATGACTCACTGAAAACTGTTTTTTTCTTCTCCACAGGATGCTTCAGACAAAATAAGGACAAAATCCCAAGAGCTACATAGTCCATTAAAAATTGTTTCTCTTTATCCAAAGATGCTTCAGACCAAATTGGGACAGAATTATAGCATTCCTACAGAAGAAGAAGGACATCGAAGAATTTACTTCATATCTTATATAAGGCACCATCCCTCCTGCACCTGGGGACCCCAGGCCCACAGTTTTTGCAACACTGAATTTCCTCCACCAAAAAATACTTTTAACTAAATTTGATGAAAACATGATAATTCCAACATGAGAATAAGTATTTATTCAAAGGCAAAACTATTTAAACAAACTTGGCTCCTCTTTCCCTTACAATGCTTCTGACCAAATTTGGTCCAAATCTGTTCAGATCTTCATTACCAATTACAAAAAAAAATTAACTTTCCAGGATATGGCATAGACTCACTAGTCCCTGGGACTGTGTGAGCTAATAAACTTGAAAGTTACAGAATTCATCAAGGTTTATACAATCATTCTATATCAATACTTCTTTTCCTCTGTATAAGAAAAAACAACATTCAAATAGTTCTTTAAGATACCGACTGGACATTGTCTTTCCTCCCAACATAAAGATAAGTGCTGCTGGCTTGATGCTGCCAATTTAGTTTCTTATGTATAGACTGCAGAAGGAATCCCAATCCCTATCCAAAATACTGATCCAAATGGACTTTATAATGGAAATATATTCATGTATCATTTTAAATAAAGGTGAAATGAAACAAAAAGTCAGTAGCGTTACTGTATCTTATCTAAATTTGTATAAAATGATGCTATTCCTTTGTGTGTTTTTTATACAATAATAGGAAGTCAAAACATCTAAATGTAAGTGTTACTGATGAATGTAAATATGCCTGCGGGCAACATTGAACAAGGATTGTGAGCAAAACCTTGGGGGAAATTGCTAAGTAATTGTGTGTGTCGAATACTACACTGGGGTCATGAAAGTGATCATTTTTGAAATATAAACCTAATGAAACACTTGCAATATATGTTTCTTGGATTTTTTTTTTGGTGGGGTGGGGTGGGGAGGGGATTGGGGTTGCAGTAATTCTTTGCTTTCACAGCAATCATACATTGTACATCACTTTTAGTCTTAGTGTTACTCACACTTACTGTAGAGAGGAAGCATCATAATAAGATATCCTACACTTGCAAATGATGTTGAACAGAATTTATCTGCTTGGATTTGAATTTTCCAGCCATAATATGTCAAACACATGTAGATCTGTTGTTTCTTAAACAGACAGGTAGGTCCCAGATGCAGTTTCCTGCCTCTTATTATGAATTATAATTAGCCCTTTGCTATTAGAAACAATCATATGCATCTTATAAGATATGATAAAGTAATTGAATAACATCATAATTGTTCAAAACACAATTGTTATGGTATATATGAAATCCCATCAAAGGATTAAAGCAGAGAAAATTCTGAGTTATATTTCTGATTCCTGGGAAAAGTGGATGGTATTTTCTTATCTTATATAGTACATTCTGATACTAAATTTCAAAGAGATTTCAGCCAAAAAAAAATGGTAAAAATCCAAAAAATATCAATCAAGAATGTCAGACCAAATACCATACTCTGTAATTATCATTATCCCTTGTGATACATATTTCCTAGCACTTCTCCAAACATTAGATCACAATATACATGATCTATTCACTTTTATAAAGTGTCTCAATAGTCAAATTGTGGCTGGACATATAATGCATGTGTATCTTATTAAAACGATATAAATATTTATATATGACACTTAAATCATTTTATATTTTTATTATCATTAATATTCTATGCCTTTAGTAAATTGTAATCTTACAATCATACATGTAGTCTGTAATATATCTGAAATACTACATTCAATGCCTGGTTGATGACGAAGTATTGTCTAAGATACAAGATAAACACAGATTAAAGAAATCATGCATGTGCTTCCAAGAAATAAAACCTGTTGATGGAAATACCAAAGTTGTTTGAGATTAACAAACTTTTGGATAATTATAAATAATTGTAATAAATGTTTGGTCAACATTAGACTCCATATCAAACATACAAAAATATGTGGGGAAGGGGTGGGTGGATTAAAATGGAAATATTTAAAAGACAAGTTGTTCTGAAGAAGCACCAAAATGCATCATAGAGCTTACAGAATTTAAGAATATCAATTAAACTCAATGTCATAAAAGTTTAGAAAAAAGTAGTTATATGATACCTACATATACATCAAAATTTTAAAAATTAACGAATGAAACTATATTCGTATAAATAAACTTTCTTATTCCTAATCCATGAATATAAGAACTAGAGAAGGAACTGGACAGAAACTTAATACAGTGTTCCAACTAGAAATGATACCAAATCTGTTGATGATCAAATCTTACCTGAAACACTGTTACTGTAAAAGATTAGTCAAATCTGTTGAGATATTTATTTCCTAAGTTTTATTCTTGCTATGACGGTACGACCTTCCACCAATAAATTTCTGTCTTGGTGTCAAAATGTTTCACATTTTCATTCCTCAAATCACTTGGAAACCTAACAAATCATTCACGTGATGCTGTTATTATCTCTTGCCAGTCAATTTGTCCTGATAGGAAATACTTCAATTTAATTAACGGAAACATGACATTTATAACATACCAAAGTGATAATAAAGTAAAACAAAAGTGACACTGGATTTAACTGGCAAGAAAACCGAACAAATATTCAGACTAATTCCATCATGTCTCCTGTAGTAATCTGCCCCTCCTTTTCACCCACCTGCCGAGCGGCACCTGTGAAACACACCCATTCAAAAACAAATTTCACGCTCAACAACATCAAGAAATTAGATTATAAGACTTAAAATGTTTCAGTTACAATAATACTTACGGATAGATCTATCGTAAAGTCTGAAGCGTCCAATAACATAACCGTACACGTAATTGCATTCTTCTTTTTGATGGGTGCTTGTTCCCCGAGCTTCTGCCGTCTGCCAGTTCGGCGGCGGCTGAGGAATCGGAAAAATCTCGACATTTTTGCGGACAAATGCCAAACCGATTACACTATAAAAGCTTCTACATCATCCTGAATATGTTAACAGTCCAGCAGGCGTTGTTGTACACCCTTTCTTTTAACCATTTTGAAATGTGACTCATACGACAGGTTAGATTTTTGTGCAGTGTTGTCTTCCTGTTTTGCCCTCGGATATGTCCGGATGTTACCGAAGGTGATAAATCGGCGACTTCCGGTTTAATTAACAGGTGCTCGTCCGGTAAGACGATATACAGAATAGGGCAGGATCGAACAGGATCGGGCACAAGTGTTGTTTATGGATTTATTTTCACTATCAATATTCAGATTTGAAACGGTATGAATAATATTTACCGAAAAAGAGTATTTTATATACATGAGTGCTTTGGTCGCACAAAACTTAAAAGATTACTTACAGAATCGGACAGAATACATTTATTTTGTTTTGATGTGACCGATAAGAAATCATGGGTTTGCTTTAACTGAAAATTGCAAAAGTATTGCAGAATTATTAATCAATAATACTTATTATTATGGCAGAATCTGACGGGCTATGTGCAGAATCCATCATAATGACGGTGAAGTGTTGATGTTGTTTTTAAGAGGTCATTTCTATAACATTATACTGTAGGTTACTTGAACCAGGGACGTATGTGTTATAAACATCTCTGGTTTAAACAAAAATGTAAAAAGCAAAAAATTGTACAACGTCATTAAACAAAAATGTAAAAAGCAGAAAATTGTACAAAGTCATGCAGGGACGAAAGAAGATTTGCATGATCTAGCAGGCGTGTAATGTGCAGAATCTATAAATATTATGATGGCGTTATCGGCGGGTTATGTGCTATTGTTACCTTTCCTCAAAACATCTTGCATTGGAAACAGCAACGTTTTATGTTATATTTGTTTTTCCATTGTTAAAAGAACAATAGCGAGAAAGTATAGGTAAAACTTTGTCAAATTCAGTCTCTCCATAATCATAATATCTTATGTCAACTTTTACTGAATATCATATATTTTGTTTAAGATAATATATAAAAAAAATGTTGCAACGGATACTATATAAAAGTCAGAGTTTCTGTATAACAGACTACTAGAAATATATGAATTAGTTTCAGCATTATGTAGTGCGTGTCTGTATACCGTCTGTATACTAATAAACACATGTAGAAAGGTTTCACATGTCATCTTGAGTTTTGATGATATATACATTTTTATTTTTGGAAAAGGGTTTTCGAAAAGTTGCACAACTTAACTTGTTTTAAATTCCGTTTCTATCGGAAGACGATGAATGTTTACATAGATACAGAGTCAACGAACCTGAACGACTTGGAAATATTGATAAAAATGCGTACGTGTTTGCACTTTACAATGTAAAAGTTGGATTGCGAATTATTTTTTGAGATATTGCCCTTCTGGACTAAAGCCCTGCACATTATGATCATCATATCATTTTTTAACCTTTATATATATTATATATACATACATGAATCACCAACATTGTAACGTCCTGCGTCCCGGTTCTGGTCATAACCTGACTGAGCCTGCCCGATCATATCAACAGTCTTTCGGTCTTGTACAATATAAATTGTGAAGTGAATATATGTCTTATTAAAAGGACTTGTTAATTGCAGTTGCATATGCTTTACAAATGTTTTGGTAAAATTTCATTTTACAAGAATATAGGTTATATGGAAATCGATAAAATGTATCCAGGTGTAAACAACCAGTGATAAGGGGAGTAACTCTTACAATGACAAAGAACAAGAAAAGACTGATACTATTGTGGAAATAATATTTACTTGTGTTTGTAAATAAAGCAGATACTAAGCACTATAAAGCAGAAATTAATTACAATTGAATATGATAACATATGAATTATATTATTTGATTAATGTTTTAAATTCATTGCAAACATTTATTAATAATAATCGTTCATGAAGTCAACTTTAGTCATAAAAAAGTTAAGAAAATTAAAAATTCTCAAATTAAAAACCATTTATCATAACAAGGGTTTACTTTATAGATATATATCTGATATTAACTTCATCTTACATGAAATCAAACATTTAGATTACTTTATAGCAGACAGATATACAGACAGAAAATTTTCAATTAATATGAACTCTGAGTTTGTTTCACCATCCTATATAAAATATAGATATTAAGATTTGCCTTTATCTGAGGGTGTAGGATCTGCTCGAAGTTCCTTTATCTGAGGGTGTAGGATCTGCTCGAAGTGCCTTTATCTGAGGATGTAGGATCTGCTCGAAGTTCCTTTGTCTGAGGGTGTAGGATCTGCTCGAAGTTCCTTTATCTGAGGGTGTAGGATCTGTTCGAAGTTCCTTTATCTGAGGGTGTAGGATCTGCTCGAAGTGGCTTTATCTGATGGTGTAGGATCTGCTCGAAGTGCCTTTATCTGAGGGTGTAGGATCTGCTCGAAGTGGCTTTATCTGAGGGTGTAGGATCTGCTCGAATTGCCTTTATCTGAAGGTTTAGGATCTGCTCGAAGTGCCTTTATCTGAGGGGATAGGATTCGCTCGAAGTTCATTTATCTGAGGGTGTAGGATCTGCGCGAACTGCCTTTATCTGAAGATTTAGGATCTGCTCGAAGTGCCTTTTTCTGAGGGTGTAGGATCTGCTCGAAGTGCCTTTATCTGAGGGTGTAGGATCTGCTCGAAGTGCCTTTATCTGAGGGTGTAGGATCTGTTCGAAGTGCCTTTTTATGAGGGTATAAGGTCTGCTCGAATTATCACTGTATGAGGATGTAGGATCTGCTCGAAGCGCCTTTATCTGAAGGCTTAGGATCTGCTCGAAGTGGCTTTATCTGAGGGTGTAGGATCTGCTCGAAGTTCCTTTATCTGAAGGTTTAGGATCTGCTCAAAGTGCCTTTATCTGAGGGGGTAGGATTCGCTCGAAGTGCCTTTTATATGAGGATGTAGGGTCTGCTCGTAGTGCCTCTATATGATGGTGTAGGACCTGCTTACAGTACCTCTATATGACGGTGTAGGGTCTGCTCGCAGTACCTCTATATGAGGGTGTACGGTCTACTCGCAGTACCTCTATATGAGGGGGTAGGATCTGATCACAGTGCCTTATATGAAAGTGTAGGGTCTGTTCGCAGTGGCTCTATATGATGGTGTAAGGTCTGCTCGCAGTGCCTCTATATGATGGTGTAAGGTCTGCTCGCAGTGGCTCTATATGATGGTGTAGGACCTGCTTACAGTACCTCTATATGACGGTGTAGGGACTGCTCGCAGTACATCTATATGAGGGTGTAGGGTCTGCTCGCAGTGCCTCTATATGAAGGTGTAGGGTCTGCTCGCAGTGCCTCTATATGATGGTGTAGGGTCTGCTCGCAGTGCCTCTATTTGATGGTGTAGGGTCTGCTCGCAGTGCCTCTATTTGATGGTGTAGGGTCTGCTCGCAGTACCTCTATATGAAGGTGTAGGATTTGCTTGCCTTTATCCGATGATGGTTGTGGTGATATGATATTGTCATAATAATTGATTATCGGAAGTGATGATAAAGGAATCTGCTTAAGTCTGGACAGTGTTTCTCCAATGAGTATTGTAGATGTCTTTTTTCAAATGCATTACCCAGAATGGCTGACGTAAATCACACATAGTTACAGATAAAATAGTTATATATATATAAAAAGGGAAATATATAGGGCTTTGATATAACACCATGGATTCGGAAAAGGTACATGTGTACTTTTTAAAATCTCTTTTGGGTGTAAAGAAAAATGTTAATAATTCTATGGTGTATTTCGAGTGATGTCGCTTTCCTTATGTTCAGCGAAAGGTTACTATTGTAAAGTATTGGCTACAACTATTGAAGACAGATACTTGTATGTTAAGAGCTTGTTATTATGAATTAGTTGATCTTGATACCAAGAAGCCGAATTGTAAGGCAAATTGGATGTTTCATTTGAAACAAGATTTATTTAGATTTGGTTTTGGTGATGTATGGTTGGCACAAGGTGTTTCAAATAAAAAATATTTTGTATTGATATATAAACAACGTATACAGGATATATTTTGTTACACAATTGTACCTCAACAAACCACTAACTATGAAAATAGATATATTTTGTTACACAATTGTAATATTTCTCAAAGAATATGCACTTTGTACGACAGTAATGAAATAGAAGATGAAATTCATCTTTTTTACTATGTCCATCTTATTCAGAATTACGTATCTTATACATCAAGCCTTACTTATATCGCCGGTCATCTGTATTCAAAATTATTCAACTATTATCTAGTAATAATATAAAAACTCTCAGGAATTTTGGCAGGTTTTTTATTCATGTTACGGCAAAGAGAAAAGAATTAATAAATACTTAGATAATTTTTACATATGATATTCGAGGTAATTTTGAGCAATTGTTAATTAATCTATACATTTTCATTTGTCAAAAGTAACACTTCCGAGTACTGGTGCTTCAGCACACCGCTCCGTTTAAAATTTGCTTGATATCTATGCATACTTATGAATTTTCTGTCTTAATCTTATTGGTTACAGCTAATGTTCTCCGCCACCTTGTGTAAATATAAATGTTATTATTTGTATGTGTATTGTCAACCATATATGCTGTTGCATACGGAATGAAATAAAATTGAATTGAGAGTATGTATACTCCAAGTGCCAATATTTTTTAACAACAGGATTGTGTTGTTTTAGGAAACAATGACATATAAGCTGTCCTTTTGTTACCGGGATTATTACCTGAGAGTTATCTGTGTTTCTAACAATCTTCACATGATGTTAAACTACATAAAGAAAATAAAACCATTTAAGGTAATCCTTACAATTAAATCCAATGCATATCATAATCATATGATTAAAGACGTGAATATTTCATTTTGAAGGGAAAATGATCAAACATTACAGTTAAATAGCATGATAATGTTGTAGGATTCTGATGATGAAAACTATTGAATTGGGAGTGTGAACTGAAATTATGTGCCATTTTCACCAAAAAAAATGACACAACTAATATTTAATTCAGGTTTGTAAACAGTTATCTCAATGTGTTGGAACATTACTATACTTGCTAGTCAGAGGCCTACATTTGGAGATTTATACATAACACTGCTTTCATTTCACATTGAAGTTGTCAAAACAATCGCTTTGTTAAAAATTTGGTAAGACTTTGGCGGAGATTCATGTAATAGTTTCAACTAACAAATGACACAAAACAATTAGTATCTAAATAATTTTTTAAGTTATATATTTGTAACGATGAAATGTTAGATTTACTGTTCAGAGGCATACGTTTTGGAACTTTTATCTACAAAACGATATATCAATATTTTTCTGAAATTCCGCAATATAATCTATAGTTAAAAATCGTTCAGGTAAGAAATTAAATCAAAATATAACAATACACATCACAACATGACTTCTATTCTTATCTACGGTGCTTTCGATTCAAAGTTTAAAGATTTTATCCACACACACACACACACACACACCCTCACCCACCCACCCACACACACAAACACGCACGCACGCACGCGCGCACACACACACACACACACACACACACACACACACACACACACACACACACACACACACACACACACACACACACACACACACACACACACACACACACACACACACACACACACACACACACACACACACACACACACACACACACACACACACACACGGGGACTCTAATGTAAACAAACAAGATGATCGCTCAACACTCACCTACACAGCACATTCTTTAAAGTACTTTATTTGATTTTGGCTTTGAATACGTTCATTTTTCATCTGTCGTGATATATAAACTCATCAAAGAAAATAATGTCAACAAATTCTTATTCTTAACTGGGGAAAATATGAACTAAAGAAAAAATAAATTGAGACTCCATATCCTTGGTCAATCCAAGGGAATAATGTCATGTTCCTAAACGAGAACAAGGTAAACAATAACAGAGCTAACAATTATTCTAATTAGCACCAAACACACCCAACATCATATCACACACGAATATTTCTTAATGGGATCATTATAAATATTCAATGTACCACTATTAAACATACATATTTCTAATTTTTATGTAGGTCATCTTTAGAAATTTAATGAATCATTAAAAGTTACTAAATCATGTTTTGTTGCTTTTATGTCAGTTTTGGTGAATATTCTAAAACTGGATATAAGAAGAAATTGACTGTAGTCGATATGGCATCATTTGTAGCACGTGCTAGCAGAACACCTTCGTCTTCTTCCGGTTGTTCTAAAACAACAGGCAGTACACGGCTTGTACATCGCAAGTCTTTAAGTTGAAATTTTGGCATTGTTGTACCTTGGTTTTCACCAAGAATGGCTACAAATTCCAGCAAATCCCCCGTTTCCAGACTTCCAAGAATATCCTTAAATGTATCCCCAGTATCTAATGCTAATTTTCCATTGAAGTTTGGCATCGATACTGTCATTTTGAACGAAAACGTGTCATATTCATTAAAATGGCACGTTTGTCCTGAAGACGCCTTGAGTTTACACACTGTTTGCTCGTCTACTGACAATTCCGCCGAATTACAATCGCCAAAAGAGGTCCCAAAAGTACATCGAATTTTATTGACAACTAGTGAAGGCAACCCTGCCAGCATAGGCTCTATGCTATTCTCAACTTTTGAAATTTGAACTCCGTCGAATGTCCCGTTCCACGTAACTTTTTGTCCAATGAAATTCATGCAAAGATTTTGCCGCGAAATCCTATTTCCATCTCCGGATAAACATAGAGCTTTATATTCAGGCCATCCTAATTCAAATTTAAACGGCACAGAACTGTTTGAAGTTGGAATGATTGAAAAGATGGAAGTCACAGGAAGAAATCCCAAAACACCAAAGAGAAGCATTACATACTTCTTGGTAGAACCTGATTTGCCATCGTTTGACCCGAAAATTGCTGTTGTTTGCGAGAGAATTAAAGGAACAAGTCCTAGAACTGCAGCTATTGCAATTTGAAGGAAAGTATTTGTTTGAAAAGCCTGATAAATACCGTAAAATATACCAACAACGATTGACATGGGAAGAAGAACTGGCAAGAAAGCATTTCCTACAGAAGCCCTGATCAACCCGAACCATGTTGTATACGGATATAGTGAAGTGGCAATGCTGAGCCATGTTTGTGTGACAAAAAACGGAAGTAAAATTCGGTAACTTCCAGCCCCAGAATGTCGCAAGGCCATGACAACGAAAAGTATAGGGAGAAAAGAGTAGGAAATGGACGGAAGACTGATATTGATCTTGAGACCAAAAGCGACATCAAGCGAATAAAACGACTTTGTGATCAAACCTACTATTTTTGAAATAACGGGAATATCTGGAAAATTCCTTGAAAGTATTGGCAAGGAGGAAAATAGATTAAAAATCATTGCTAACCAACGTGTCACTTCCAGTGGAGTTTCGATAAAGAAGAAGAAAAGTATTGCTGTTATGATGCAAGATATGACAGCCAGGTCGGAACAAGGGATGTACTTCTTGTTTGCTAGCGACAATCCCGCAACGAAAAGTGGCAAAACTGCAAAAAATATCCAATATGGCGTCAGTTTGTTTTTTATAAATTTGGATCTGGCCGCTTCTACGTTTAAATTCTTGTCAAATTTCTTCAAAGTACTCGCAAGTTCTATGCTTTTTCTTAGATTCTGTCTGTTGACGATGATCTGCAAGGTTGCCACAAGTAGCAGAGCAAGTGTGACGTAGAACACTAGAAGTGGGATAACGAAGAGAAGAAGACTTGCCGACAGAAAACTGTAGAGAAAGAATGCTGAGATCATGTAGAGTTGGTTGCTAGGCAGCAAATTACCAACCCATGACATGCCATCTGTCGCAATCATATCCTGTGCTTCTTGTAGGCCAACCTTCAGCGTCTCCATTGGGTATTTTGTGACCTGGAAAATGCGAAGAGTTACATACACCAAATTATTTCTACAATAAAACATTTTCTGTAACAACAAAAATAAATAAAAAACATTGTACTTAAACCAAAATTATTTGCCTCATATCAGACTTATTTCACTTCGTTTTAACAGAGGTAGTCTTACCTTGGTGAACACATCGGCTGATTTGAATTCATTGGACTGATTTTCCCGTTCTGATGACGTCATATTTAGTGTCCCCTGAATTTGCTCAGATAATATCATTGATAGTTTTTCCTCCGTGATGTTATTTCCGGCTTCTTTAGCTAATAAAAGGAAATAGACAGTTTCTATGTGACATCTTTTTATGAATATACAAAAACTACTTTTTCGTTTTTACCGATCAATGAAAGGAGAGGTGAGCTTGTTGGTTGCTATATCTAGAAAATTACGCTTTGGCTGTATGGTATGCACTCTGGCATGTGTGCGGTCTTTAAAGCTTAAACAACACATCAAAATTCGCCCACTACGATGAAAAAACATTTAAATTGCAAGAGAAAAGATTTCTATGAAACCATGCACCTGCCAACACGAGAATTCCCTTCACACTTGTATCAACCTTCGCGGTCTTCACTGCGGTGACGAACTCCTTCAATGACAAAGGATCTCCCTCTTTTCTCTGGATTGTTCGGAAGAGCTGCCTTGCAGATTCCCGAACTCTCTTTTCCTGGTCGCTGGTTTCTAAACACCATTTTACAGCAGACCTGTTCTCTTCAGTAATTCCTGAACAAGAAACCACATAACAAAAAACATATCTTTCACTCACTCAACGTACGTTATTTCATGAACGAAAAAAAAACAAAAACAAAATAAGAATGATTATTCGGGTTGGACAATACATACATAATTTTAACGGCACCAAAATCCTTACTGGTTAATATACAATAATCATTTATGAGCTTAAGACGTTATTTCGTTGCAATTACCACAAAACATTGCTATTAGAAATCGACACAGGAATAGGTCACAAGATGTTTACATAATACACAGTCACCATTGAAATGACATCAAATTGGTCGACTCGCGTGTTTACAAACAGAAGAAGTCAGCAACCATCGGCATTGATTCTGATTCAGAAAATTCAGAAATGGTGAGAGCATTTACGTTGAAATAAGTGTACTGGTAAATGTGATAAATAATAATATTAAGAAGACAAACAAGATCAACATACGTCTCTCGTCATTACCTGTTTGTTCCTTTAAACACACTCGCAGAATGTCCGTAGCTTCCTTGTTAGCTTTTTGGGAAACTTTAACAAGAAGATCAACTGCCTTTCTAGCAGTCTCCTCGGAATCGGTATCCGATTTGACAAGCTCCAGTAAAGACTTGGCGTATTCTAATTGCTTGGTCTCGTCGCCATCTTGTGCTTCCGCTTCCAATTGTTTTTGTTTACCAGCTTCTCCTGTCACATAAATAATATGCAATGCTTTGTTCATTTATCAAGAAAAAAATATAGATATTTATTAAACAGTTATACGGCATGGATTGGTACTACTTGTGAACAACCAATCCCAAAATATTCTATTCTAGTATTTTATCGATCAATGTTATTACGCTTGTGTCTGCTGATGACTAATTCAAGCACGTAATGGTCTTTCCAAATTAATGTGATATCATTTTTACAAGTTTTTTAAACCGTGACTTAAACATCGGTCTAATGACTTGATATAATTGAGTGTTTTATAAAAGATCATCTTCTCAAATAAGTTGTTTCTCTTTGTTGCTGTTTATGTTTATATTGCTGTTGTTGTTGTTGTTGTTGTTGTTGTTGTTGTTGTTCTTCTTCTTCTTCTTCTTCTTCTTCTTCTTCTTCTTCTTCTTCTTCTTCTTCTTCTTCTTCTTCTTCTTCTTCTTCTTCTTCTTCTCCTCCTCCTCCTTCAGGTTCTTTGGAAATGTTAATATACTGAACTTAAACCTATAATAGTTCCTGTTATTCCTGATAGGTCATAAGTCAGTAACGTGAACGTTCCATGTATTATGACGAACTATCATTTCCTTAAATTTATCAAACCGCAAATGACACATCAGAATACACTCGCAGGCTCACTTAACACGTGAGACAACTGACTGACTATTTAGGTATATCCCTAATGTACACCAGGAAGCCGCGGATACTACACTAAGCAGGCGTTATCTGAGGGTTATAGATAACATACATATACCTTAAGTGGTTGATAGATGTATAAGTAAATAAAATTATCGAAGCAATTGTCAACATGAAACTGTCCTATACTCTGATAAGATTGTGTAACAATGATTTTTAAAAGAGTCTGTCCAGTTTAATATTTACATGCATCTTCTACACAGAGCTTTCGTTCCGGAAGTATACATTTGTGGACAGAATCTGCAGAGCATAAGTATCAGTTTCTAATACTTGTCGGATTTAGTATTTACTGATTCTACGATCTTGAAAGAGAAAAAATGATATCGTGTTAAAATCACATGTAAAAATTCAATATGGAACTTCTGTAATGCCATTACATTGACATAACCTTGGATCATCACCAAGGTCAACAGCGAAGTATTGCCAAGAAAAACGCTAGGAAAGGAACTATCCATAGAGAGAAAACAGAGAGAGTAGATCCTTAATGCCACAATGAAAGTAAATTCATTTCGGTTACACAAAAATATAAAATTTATTTTTTCGAATTTGCAGGGGTTCACATTAGTCGCCTCATTCAAATGCAGAGGATGGTGAATATCAAATAATCTTTTCTTAGACATTCATTACAATTAGCACCCCACTCATCCACACTCATGCTAATGAAAAGAGATTTTTAAAAAAAGTCAGATGGAGCATGTACACTACCACTGCAGTAATCAAATGTACCTGCTAGTAGGTAGGTATATATGTGTAGGTATAACATTTCACTGCATACTTAGCCATATATATAAAAAGCAGATACCATTGTGTAGATCTATATAAGTATATTCACATATCTGTTACTTACCTGACATATCTTTAGATGTCCTTTTCAGATTCTCTGTCAGAACTTACCTGTAAAGTTACAGGCTAGAGTCAGTAGATATACAAGGCTTGTACAATGTACTTTGTAATTTCATACGCGTGTACATATATGACCTTCGACGTGTAATCTCTGGACGAGATCATAAGTGGTTACTTACATACGTGTAGTAAGTATATGTAATGTGACTCACATAATACAGTGTACTCTTCAATGTTAAGTAGTAATTGTGTAAACGACGGAGACTATTCTGAAACGTTACAGTCAACATACACAAATTAAGACTTAATGTCAAGCAAGTATCATTAAATTAGATTTTATCTATTATACAGTAATTGCGAAACAAATTACCGAACTTATTGCAACGCAAGCCTTACACTGGGAGGAAATAGATGTACTCGGGGAAATCCGACGTGGTCGGGAGAGTGACACCCAACTTTTTACGCCCGTTCGGGGATCGAACCCAGGATGTCTTGAAGACGAATGCGCTACCACTGCTCCACCCGACCACCCATTATTATTGAAGATAAAGAAACTTTTATCGTAGCTACTGTATCAGTATCTATCCGATAGTACAATGGAATGCCGTCTATACATGATACACATCTAAATCTATATAAATCTTGATAACAATTTGACCGACCGCAATTCCATTGAAAATAAATCAAACTGAAAAATAGAGACATGCATCATGTTGTTAAGGGGATGGGGAAGGGGCCGCACTTTATTCTGCAAAATATGAAAAATAATTTGGAATTTTAATATCTGTGAAATACCATTGTAACAATTTCGGGTCTGCGATCATCCCGATTCCAGTTTTATAATAGAGAAATGGGACGATAACCTTTAGAATTAACTATTCAAATTAGAACGTTAAATTGATTCACTTAGAGTAAGTTATATATATATATATATATTTGAAAAGAATAAAATCAACACGACAAATGTATTCCGCTTACGTTTATTAAATGTATTGGTAACGACATTATGACGTCATATATACTACACAAGGGAAGGGGAGATAACGCTATCGTTCGTAGAAGACATTACAATTATGAGCGTTTCTTATCCATCAAATATGTGTAAAAGATTTTTTCAAAACATTAACTAGCATTTCGAGCTGGTTTAAATATTTTGACAAACATTTCCTCTTTTAACAGTCTTTTTGTTGTACCCAAATCGAACATTTTGCAAAAAGGAAAAAAAAATAAAAATTTTCCTTTCCCACATGTATCCAAGTGTTCACTAAGTGGTATTTACGTGTCTCTGGTGTGCGTATTTGCCGTTTGTGGACCCGAACTCTCTCACTAAGTGCATTTCCTGTTTGGCCGATGAAGTGTTTCTGGCAGGTTGGACAGACTATCACATATATTAAATTCTTACTATTGCAGTTCAGATTAGTGTTTGGAATTATTGCTTTTCCATTTTTAAGAGTCAGGTGATTGCCAACATGTATGCAAACGCATGTTCCAAATCTGGAGTCTTCATATTTGGTAACAGAAAAACTTTGTCTTTCAGAATCATCGAATTTGTTCCTATTTAGAATTCTTTTGAGACTGGCTGGTTGTCGTTTACTCTATAGAATTTCTGATGCTTGAACCACCTGGTATATATCATACAGTAACATAAACATATATTTCAATTTCTACTCAAATCAGACTTAATGAAACTACTAAATGTGATATGTTCTCTTTACCAATGAGTTTGACCAGATTAACATTGCCAGTGCGTATGAATACAAATATTGGGTAAGGGGAGAAAACTCCCCAACTTCTACTAGACTGGCAATATACCAGAAGTATGAGATTTAAAAACATCAAAATTAAAATTTAATTCAACATTTAATAACTGTCACTTTACGTTTCAAAATATGTGAAGCAACTGAAGCCTGATAATTCTTGCTCTCCGCTTCGGTGCCTGTAAAAAAATGACACCGCCTCGTTTGCGAACAGCGCACCACGTCTAGACGTTATTCCTCCGCGGGGAAAATGCATACTCTCTTTGTTGCACACTATTATCTAAATTTTCATTAAAGTTGTCGAAAAATATATTGAATTTTGTTCTTATTTAAGTTTAACTGAATATTAAGTAACCACACTTAAATATATTTCAACCTGTCACAATAATCTGTCTTCAAATGACGGACTATTTGCTTGTATGACGTCAGACGATATAATGACAAGAAACGAAAATGAAAGTAGTAGATAAATTGCGTCAGTTCCCATGAAATCGACAAAAGCAAGATTCAATCCTTAAATGATCTATGTACACCTGGTATATATCATACAGTAACCGAAGTTTAAATTGTTCAATATCTTCTACACGCACGCGATGAAACCTATTAAGGGCCCCGATATTAGTTATCATTACCGGGGCTCTGCATTTCAATACAAGGGCTTGTGAATCAACCTCGTTCTGACTTTATCTGTATTAACACTATACTGTCATCCCAAATAATTTTTCATAGCAAGATCATTATGTATCCCCCAACCCACCCCTTCTCTAATCATACCTTTCAGTGTGAAATCTTCTTAATTCAAACCGTTAAAGATCACTAGGTCCCTGTAATGAATGTGACATTCTGCAGTTCTGAACTTCCGGATGCTGTTGTTGACACTGGCAATGCATTTACTACAACGCTATGCTATTTCCAAATTAATGTTTGCCTTGTTTTATGCAACTGATATGGTATCTGATATTTATTCCACGCATTACACATGCAATCATTTCTTTGAATCTTCGCTTGCACTTAATAAGTCGTAGTTATATTTTTCGCCAGTTTGATGTTCAAGACTCTGTGACATTGCAGGTCTGTACCATTATGTTCTATAGCAGGTCGTTATCCATTGTGCTCACACTGCCTGGAATGACCATGGACATGGATGACCATTCTTATTCTTCGGTAATTAAAAAAATACTCACAATGGAAACAAACGTGTTATATTACTGTTACAAGTGAACTGACTGGTACCATCTGTATGGCTATATTTATTAGAAATTCTACTTGGATAGCCTGAATGTGTGTATTTTATGTTTCTGTGGCATATATATGATAATATGGAGGAAACCCTATCTCAATACTATAGTATGTTTATTATATTCCAATTATTTTAGACACTCTATGATTTGTCAAAATGTTACTTTTCTGTGTTATGTGTTTTAGTTTTCTATAATATTGTATGGCACTCCTCAAAAATCACATTCTCATATGAAATAACCTTTCACAAACAAGAAATAGAATTTTTACGTACCCACATGCTTGTAGACCAGCTTTCTGTAGTGTTCTGATGGACAGGCTTGAAATTTATATGATTAAAATGGTAACCGCATGTGAAATTAAATGAAAAATGATAATTAAGTATTGTTAACTGTATAGTACATTTTGACGCGAAAAAATACGAAACTAAAGAATAATACAAAAAGCTGACTAAAAAATTAAGAGCTGAAGATTGTCACATTCACCTGTAATCAGTAATGTGTACCCTTTTTATTTCTGACAGGTGTACATAGATCATATGTTTATGACATTTGCATTGCATAATATCTAAATGCTTACCAATCCCAAAGTTTGTATTTGACGATAAAGACGTATGAAGATTATGCTTATAAGTATGAGATCTTGTCAGCATTTTTATTGTGCGTAGATAAACAGTATTTTGCTTACATTCCTAAACATTGTGTAAACATGGTTTAAATGTGCAGAGACATGTAAGCTATATAGACAATAAAAACAATAATAATTTGCTCTTGAAGATATTTTGTTGTTATCAGCGGTGTCAATGCGCCCAAGTGGCGCCAAATACTGCTTGCATAATAACAAATGTAGATCGTGAATTCACTGGTATCCATCTATCATTATTAAATAAAAAACAAAGATACACAAATAACATACATTTCTTACATATTTATTTCATTTATATTATCATTCATATGTTTAAGTATAATGGAAAATCCGCAAAACGAGACCATCGTTACTGGTTCGAACTGTTAAATACACTCCTGGCAGCATTGACCAGTCGGGACGTATCGGTCGACCTCGTCACACATCAAACTAGGACAAATGACGTAAGTGCACGTGATTGTACCGGAAGTACATTTACAGCCGTCACATTTGTCTCCCTCGATGTCCGCACCATCAGGATACCTAAAACCATCTTTGATACACTCACCTGTGAAAAAGAGAAAGCATGTGTAGGAAATTAATGGGAACATGAAAAAATCACGTGTTTTTATACCTCACGGATCGAAAGATCGGGGGCATATTGTTTTTGTGCTGTCTGTGTTGTCAACTTTAACCTTGCCCAAAACTATTGCACCGTAAGATATAGGACTTTTATATTTGGCATGTATGTTCCTTGTGACAAGACCTTTCTGGTGGTGCCAAATGTTTTGACCTTATGATCTTGAGCGTGAGTTTTGACCTACATTTGGAAGTAAAACATTTTATCAATGAAGAAAAGTGTTTCACAAAGTGTGCATGTAATTAGCACATGCTTACACAGTACAGTTTTCATGTTCCACTTCAAAATTTTGTCGCAACTGGGAGCATAGCGTTTCATTTATACGAACCTTGCCAAGAAAAAAGTCAAACTTCAAGACGAGTTCATGAAACTAATATAAAATGAAAACAAATAGAAGATACCTCCTATCACATAGCTCAGAACAGTTAAAGATCGATGCTTTTGTGGGAAAAAGGTGGATGACAAAAGTAACCGGCAGCAATCAATTAGGTTGTGACATTTTCATTTCATGACGTATCATCATTGTCTATATTATGACATCACAATCGATTCTGACTGACTCAGCCAATGGAAAAACGCTCAGGTGATAATATACTGTGGTAACATAATGGACGAATGAACTGGACAACAGACTTTGTATGTGTTATAGATACACGTGCTACGATTTTGAGTAATGATTACAACGTACCATGGAAACGTCAAACTCGTTAGAAAGGACATGACTTGTATTTACCCTTTGGCTGATGTATAGAGAGCACATCCACGTTGTTTCTACCTCAAAATC